AAACAAAACTGTCTTCGCTGTTTTCAGAGAGAACTGATGCGTTTTTATTAAAACCAAAATTTATTATTTATCATTGAAATCAACTTCTCTTTTGCAAAACCTATTTCTAATGCAAGATTTTTATGTAAAAACACCGTATTTATATTAAAAACTACATTGCACTAAAACATTTTGTGTAACGTATTACATAATTAAAAACTAAATGTATATGTAGTTTATTCATTTCATTTCATAAAAAAACACATTGCATACAACAAAATAATGCAAACCAAATAAAATGAAAGGCAGCAGAAGAATAAAAAAATCTTATCTGCTGCCGTCATGGACTAATTATTTATATCTGTTTCACCTTGACGCTGTCCAGTACTCATACCTTATGATAACTTATTTCGGCTCTTAATCTGTTTCTCTCAGACGTCAGGACTCCAGCAACGGACTGACCTCTCCTGTTTGATAAGTTAACTYTTTGGGCTGAGAGCCCTGTTTATTGGCTAGGCAGTTAAATTTGTCGGATTGTGATTGGTTGTAAACTGTCACATGGTGTTAACATGATGTTATATTATTGGCTGTTTCCGCTGACGAAGGCAGCCACAAACCCGACAGACTTCCTGATTGACTTCTGTTTGTTTTGTTGCTCAAGATTAAATAATTTGACGACCATACACGCAGACTTTCTGTGCATTTATTCCAACGTGTTTCTGCATTCTTCATAAACTTTGCCACGACAGATTATTGGCGTTGTTGGCAGGATCTGCGATATTTACAAAAATATATTATTTCAAAGAATAATAAACCAATTAAAAACTAAAAGCTTTACTTGTTTAGTCCTTTGAGAAAATAATATATTTTTTTTATTTTTCTGTTGCTGAAACCAGTCTGAGACTCTTAAATCATATTCTGCTAAACTGTATACTTTACTTAAATTAAACGTGGAAAAGTGCTAATTTTCTTGACTCTTTTTTCTCTTGATTGCATGGCGGTCTGCACCGTCTGAGAGCCTGTGAGTGAAAACGGCAGATATTCTCAGAGATGCAGATAAATCGAGTCGCCCTGAGGCTCCGCTTCACCACAAACCAACAGTTCTTCACTTTTTTGCTCACTGCCCATATTTGAAGTTCCTGGGATTTAACACACACACACACACACACACACACACAAGTCCGGTCTAAAGCACATTTTTCTCAAAGGCTGCTTTCTGTTCCTTTTGTTTGGGCAGGTAATTGTAGACCTGAAGGGCTCAGAGTGCACCTGGACTTACCAAACCCCGCCCTCGTCTCCGAGCACCAACGTATCCAGGAAGTCCAGCATGTGCAGGTTTGGAGACCTGTTCACAGATCTGTATACCTCAGCAAAAAAACTAATTCATTTTAGCATTGTTTGACTTTATTTATGTAACTTATGGTTCTTACATTAATTTCTAGTAACTGCATTCATTTATTGATTTTTTTTTCTGCTTTTTTGGTGCCTTTTTGCCTAATTTTTCATCATTTTACCTAGCTTTGTTTTGTTTATGGGCTATTTATTTTTGTCCATTTATATCTTTTTTCAACTTTCAGCTGTGTAGATTTTGTGTTTTTGTCACATTTAGGTTGTTTTGCATACATTTGAATTGTATCCCGCTTCACTTTGAGGATATCTCACATAATACTCTGGTCATTTTCTACATCTTTGTACAGTTTTCTTCATTTTTTTTCACAATATTCTTTTAAAAGGTTCAGGATTTTTTTTTTTGTCTTAATGAGACCAAACTGCAAATTTTCTGAAGGCTGCAGCAAACTGTCCACTTTCTGTGAACTACAGTCTGTTTTCTGCTGCCCCCTTGTGGTTAGCAGAGGTAATAGATTTTTTTCCTGGAAAGCTTGGGGTCATTAGGGAATTCTGAGCACTGCAGGCATTATTGTAGGTTTTGAACAAGTATGATAAGCATGTTTTTGCCATCATTCTTATGTGTGTTTCTGTTGGATATGTKTGAGGAAAGCAGTGAGTTCAGAACTTGTCTCTGTGGTTTTGGTTTTGATTGAGATCCAGAAGCTGTGAAGCTGATTGTGGTCCAACCGGGCTCACGGAGTCTGCTTGGTTACAGCGTGTGTGTGTGTGTGTGTCTTCCTCTCCTCCATCCCACAGCAGTCTGAACAGCGTGAACAGCAGCGACTCCCGCTCCAGCGGCTCGCACTGCCACTCCCCCACCTCCCACTTCCGTTTCCGCACCTCCTCCTCCTCATCCTCCTCGGTGCCGCCCCAGCAGACTCCGGCTCGCCTCTCTTCGGTCTCCTCCCACGACTCTGGCTTCATCTCGCAGGATGCCTTCCAGTCCAAGTCGCCCTCGCCTATGCCTCCAGACAGCCTGCAGGTAACGGTCCCGTTAAATTACCGCCCAAGCCTTTCAGACGCTCTTATGAGGCTTATAATAACAGGTGTGTTGATCAAACCTTGAGCTGTGTCATTAGCTTGAAGCTACGGCTCATCAACCAAATGTGTCCTGACCTGTGGGTCACTGGCAGAGTGGAGAAACTGGGTATAAAAAGAGCCTCAACAAGATTTATATTCGCAACATTTATAGGTTAAATTCTCTTTATTTCCAATACATTATCCAATAATATGTCCCCAAGTGTAAAATATAATGTTAAATAATTCCACTAACATATTTTTATTATTTAGCTCACTGTTCTCACATTTAGCTAATTTTTACTAAATGTTAAATTTAAATGTTAAAAATATATTTATATATTAAATCTTAAATCTAAATGTTAAGTTAAACCTTAAATGTTAAAGTTGAATGTTTAAGTTTACATTTAGGTATTTTGGAATGGTACGCTGTTTTTGTTATTGGTTATTGGCTCATGTTATGATGTCATCATCCTGAGACAATAGCAAGTGCTCCAATGCAGCTAAAGCTACAAGACATCAAACTCGCAGTTACGGCCGGTGTCTGAGCTGCACTTCAAACTGTTGGACCACAGGGACCACCCGTAATGTTTTTTTATGAACATGTTTTAAATTTTAGATTTTAAATATTATCTTCAGCAGCGTTAGCAGCGGTCATAGTTGATGTTTGACGCAGGATGATGACATCATCCTGGTTAYCTGTTTCTAATTTTTGCTAACACTTCTAACACTGCTAAAAATAAAATGTGATGTCTAAATTCAAAATGTGTTCATAAAAAACAATATAGGTGATAGATTTAAACATTTAGATTTATGATTTAATATTTAAC